GCCGTGACGTCACGCCGCCGGAGCATCGTGGAGCTCCGGCGGCCATCTTTACCACTGGATGGTCAGTCCGTTTTTTGTATACACCGCTGTGTACTTTGGATGCTCTATGTAATAAAACCTCTGTTATCACCTACTACACTATGGAGGCGTCCTTGTTTTGACTCCCTTGGGGAGTATTTATTTGCAGCCATCGCTGGGTAAGGAACGTATGTGGTCCTTAAGGAGAAGTCCACAGGCCACCTACCGAGGGATCACACAGTAACTTCCAGGAGCTCTTGAGGGAGGCTAACATATTATCTTATCCTGACCGGCTGATGTCTCTGAGGGGAATATATATTACTAAACGCTCATTTTCCTGGGCGTTCTGGTGAGTGTGCATTCTATCAGCACTATTTTGCACAACGCCTGAACACCAGAAGTGTAGGACAGAGAAGAAATCACTAAAAGTCACCCTTTTTATGAACTGTTATGTTTGTTTAGACATTTATTCGCATGAATCACCTATCTGTCTTCATTGGAATATCTTGGGTCTGTAGCGCTACATTTTTGATTTATGGTATTTTACTTTCTGACTGCTCATCACATTTCTTGAGGTGTTAAAATACCAGGATAGTACAAACACCCCCAAATGACCCCTTGTGGAATATGTGGAATTACACCCTAAAATACATTCTGCTACTTCTACCGAGTATGGGGATACCACATGCTTGAGACTTTTTGGGAGCCTAGCTACATACAGCAGCCTAAAATCTAATGACCACTTTGAAAGCCTGAAGGTGCTTAAGTTCCTCATTTCACTTCTTCGCTACCTATCACAGTTTCAAAGGCCCTGAAATGCCAGGATAGCACCAAACCCCCCCCAAATTACCCCTTTTTGGAAATAGACACCCCAAGGAATTTAAAAAGAGGCATGGTGAGTATTTTGCAGATCTAATTTTTTTCTCATTTTTTGAAATATAAAAAAAGAAAAGAAAAAAATGTTTTTGTTTTCTTTCTTCATTTTCCAAAAACTTGTGGCAACAAACGAGATCGGCAAAATACTCACCATGCTTCTTATCAAATTCCTTGGGGTGTCTTTGTTTCCAAAAATGTGTCATGGGGGGGGGGGGTTGGTGCTATCCTGGCATTTCAGGGCCTCCAAACTGTGATAGGTAGTCAGGAAGTGTAATGAGGAAATAAAGCCCTTTAAAAGCCTGAAGGTGCTTATTGGATTTTGGGGTCCTGTACTTTGCTAGACTGCCAAAACGTCTGTCACATGTGGTACCCCCATACTCGGGAGAAGTAGAAGAATGTATTTTGGGGAGTAATTCCATATATACCCATGGCATGTGTGAGCAATAAATCATTTAATTGACAATTTTGTGTAAAAAAAAAAAAGTTTGTCATTTTCCAAAAAACTTGTGGAAAAAAAAATAAATTCTTCTATTGATTCAACATGCCTCTCAGCAAATAGTTTTGGGGTGTCTACTTTCCAAAAAGGGGTCGTTTTGGGGGATGGGGGCATTTTTTAATGCCCTGCATTAGAAGTTTATGCCACACATTATTCACTGAAGGCCAAGCATTTTCTGGCACTTTTTGTTCACATGAAAAAAAATCTGTATTTTTTGCTAGGAAATTAATTTATACCCCAAACATTATATATTTTTAAAGCAAGCACTCTAGTGAATGAAATGGTGGGTGCTGCAATTTTTTATGTCACATGGTACTCGCGCAGTGATTTTTTAAACGCAATTTTGTTTTTTTAAATACACTTTTTTTACTTTTAATGCACAAAAACACAATATATTGGCCAATTATTTGGTAAATATATAAAATGATGATGATATGCTGAGTAAATACATACCAAACATGACATGCTTTAAAAACTGCCCATGCCCCGTGCAATGGTGACAAACTGCATACATTTTTAATATCCATAGGCAACGTTTTAAAAGCCTTTACAAGCTACCATTTTAGATATACAGAGGAGGTCTAGTATTAGAATTACTGCCCTTGATCTGACATTCGTGGCGATACCTCACATGCATGGCGCAACTGCTGTTTTCATACTGGCACAGGGTCTACACTCACGAACGCAGGTGTGCGCGCGGGGAAGGGGGGGGGCAAGGGTACTTTTTTTTTAAGTTATTTTGATTTTTTTTTTATTTTTACAATGTCCCTTTAATTTTTATTTATTTTTTATCACTTTTAATGCTATCACAGGGAATGCAAGTATCCCCTATAACTTCAATGGGCATTGTCATATATTCCTTTTTGAGAAATCTGGGGTCTATCAGACTCTAGATATCTCCTCTGCCCTTATAATATCTAATCAAACCAACATTGGTGTGATCAGATGCTTTCCCAGTTTACAAATGGTGCTGTTTATATCCTGCGAAACTGAAGTGATGAAATGCTCGTAGCTTCTGATTTCTTAGGCTATAGAGATGATTGGCACCATTCTGGTCTCCAATCAGCTCTATGGTCAGCTGGCAGAAACACCGGCTGCATTCTCAGGTTCCCCCAATGGCACAGGACTGCCCGAGAATGCCGTAGAAGGCAGTGGAGGAGGGGGCATTGTCTCCAGTTGCTTGTAAAAGCAATTATGCAGCTAATTAGCCAGTAGGATTGCTTTTACATGAAAGTCGATCGCCAGCTGAAACAAATGATACCAGGATGATGCCTGCAGCTGTAGGCATCATCCTGGTATAACCATTTAAAGTCCAGTGATGTACCAGTACGTCGCTGGTCCTTGTTGGGTATATATACTACTGTATGTTCATTTTTTTTTTGTATGCAGACTGTGGACTGAATGAAAAAAAGAGAAGAAATCTCTGCCAAAAAAAAAAATGTGTGGTATGCATTAAAATATACCGCCCTGCATCCACCCACTTCTAATGGTGGGCACACATTAGGTCACACTTTGCCACATGCGCCAGCTCCAAGATTGTACAAATGTCTAAATAGTGATACGCTTGAATAAAAATTGTCAATTTATAAGTGGTACTCCATATGGAAAAAGGATGACAGCAAGTCCCAAACTATCTTGCCACTGTTCCCCATGTAGTCTAGGCATCTGGGGGGCTCACGTGACTATCTATTCCCTCGCAAATCTGAAATTTATAAGTATAGCCTGTTGCCCTCTCACAGGTCTTCTACATCTTGATCCCATATCTGGTATGCTTGCTGGGGAGGAATTGTTTGAATGCAAGGTGGCCAGAAAAATTAATGAGGGACTCATCAATGCAGATGTTTTGCTTGTGCTACACTTTTGGGACTCGCCACATCACCAAGTGATACTGCAGTGCTGGTATTATTATTATACAGGATTTATATAGCGCCAACAGTTTGCTCAGTGCTTTACAATATAACGGGAGACAATACAGCAACAATACAGTTCAATACAAGAGGGTTAGGAGGGCCTGATCCTGGGAGCTTACAATCTAAGAGGTATGTGAAATACCAGGATGTACTAGACCGCTGGTGCTTGTCAATTCGCCAAAAGGTAGCACGGCACTAGTACTGGCACTCTGCTGCATTTGAGAGTCATCATAATTTACCGGCAAGTGCTAACAGAGATCAGGCCTGATTCTGCGAACACTGCGGTTTTGTGTACAATGTATCAAGTGACAGTGACCTAATGGCACTGCATTTTCTGGGGGAGAAGAGGGGGGTAAGCGTACGGGCTAAACACAGGTGCTGGCAAGTGCCGGGGCTGATCCCGCTAATGCTGAGTTTTTGGGGACGCTATACTAATGTGAACGCTGGTATAGTGCTGATCTGATCAAAGATATTGATCCGTTCAAACACTATACTAGCAATGGAGGTTTATTGTGTACAAGCGTGTTCCTGGCAATCAAGGGGTTAAATGTGATTACTGGTATACTGATGGGCAATCTGACAGCATCTGGGAGGGGCGTGAAAACCACAGGAGCACGAATCACATATATATATATGTGATTTTGCGCACCTCTGCCGCCCTGTAGCAGTATTTCTGCTATAGGGATGTCAGGAAGCGGTTACATAAGTGCTTTGTGTTACGGCACTGCGTTACTTTAACTGACAATTGCGTGGTCATGCAACACTGCAAAATATTAAATTTACATCCTTTTTCCCCCCATTGGACTTTCTTTTGGTGGCATTTGATCGCCTGTGCGTTTTTTATTTTTTGCGATATAAAAAAAAAGTCCGACAAAAAAAAACAATATTTTGGACTTTTGGACTTTTTGCTATAAAACATGTCCAGTAAAAAAATTAAAAAATCAAATTTCGTCATAAATTTAGGCCAAAATGTGTTCTGCGACATGTCGTTGCTAAAACAAAATCCAAATACATGTAAATTAATTGTTTTACGTGAAAATTTACAAATGGTGGTATAGATACTGTTTTTTTTTATTTTTTTATACTAATAATAGTGGCAATCAGCGACTTATGGCGGCAATCAGCGCCTTATGGCAACGATCAGCGACTTATGGCGGGACTGCAGGGGACATTCTGACATTGGGGGGAACTGACTTGGGGTCACTGACATCCCCAGTGACACCAATACAGTGATCATTGCAAAAAAAAAAAACACTGACACTGTACTAATGGCACTGGGGAGGAAGGGGTTCTCCTTTGCTGTCTGCAGTCTCTGGTCATCCCCTGCACTGTCTGCAGTCTCTGGTCTTCTGTACTATGTCCGCAGTCTCTGGTCATTCCCTGTACTGTGTCTGCAGTCTCTGGTCATCTCCTGTACTGTGTCCGCAGTCTCTGGTCATTCCCTGTACTGTGTCCGCAGTCTCTGTTCATCTCCTGTACTGTGTCCGCAGTCTCTGGTCATCCCCTGTACTGTGTCCGCAGTCTCTGGTCATCTTTTGTACTGTGTCCGCAGTCTCTGGTCATTCCCTGTAGTGTGTCCGCAGTCTCTGGCCATCTCCTGTACTGTGTCCGCAGTCTCTGGCCATCTCCTGTACTGTGTCCGCAGTCTCTGGTAATCTCCTGTACTGTGTCCGAAGTCTCTGGCCATCTCCTGTACTGCGTCCGCAGTCTCTGGTCATCCCCTGTACTGTGCCCGCAGTCTCTGGTCATCTCCTGTACTGTGTCCGCAGTCTCTGGTCATCCCCTGTACCGTGTCCGCAGTCTCTGGTCATCTCCTGTTGTGACTTTTGAAATTATTTATCAAAACATAACGTTTCTGACAGCAAACCAGCCTAGCCATCTGTCAAGGGTTAACTTGTCTTGGTTGAAAATTCAAAGGACCCTCCAGTTAAGAAATGTAAATAATGGGTGAAGGGATTTTTTTTTTCCCCAGAGACAATAGACTGTTTGACTATCCACAGGTAGTTTAAGACCAGACAATTCTAAGGTTTAAATTGAAGTCTATGAGGTTAGCTAAAGTGTGGATATGTCAACAAATACTGTTTATATATTGGGGTTGAGTTGAATACGTCTACAAAAGTTAAACAGACAGCCAGATGAGACCTTGGACCTTCAAACATTGAATCACACCTAACCCAAGTGAACAATATATGATGCTAGATTAAGGTTTGAGAAGAATAAACAAACCTTGGAGAGGATAATGAACTAACAGTCTTTTCAAACAACCAGAACAACTGACTGTTTACTATATGGTTTGTTACAATGGACAAGTAAACAGAGGGTCTTTCCTCCTCATGGGAATGTTGGTTCTAAAACAAAAAGGTTAAATTTAGGACAAATCAGGCTAAACTGGATATCTCTACCCACAGAGATATTACTAAAAAGCATACTATCAATGGGATATTATAAAGAGTATGTTTCACACACCACAAAATATTCAGCAGAATGGGGATTGTATATCACTAACTTGAGTATTGAGATGAGGAAAAGTAAGATATATTGTGACTTAGCATTAGTTGTATGTCTTATCAGGAAACAAATGCTTTCACACAAGTCGTATCTCAGGGAGATGAATAACCGAATATACACATATATTCCATGGTTCCTATTTAGAACATTATAGCTATGATCACCTATATATATCTGGATAAGACGTATATTTAATACCTGAAATCACCTTGAGTTCCACCCGAGGTGTGAGTCATCATAAACACTCAAATTGTTCTATGAGCTCTGACTGCCACTTAGTGGACAGGTGAGAAATAGCTTATGTACATACATTTCTCAACCAGCCAATCAAAAGCCTGGTGGGAGGGTCTCTTAGAACAATAGTTTAGATGGTATAAAAACCCATGCACCTCATTTAGAAAAACTCATTGAAAAAAAAAACCTCATTGAAAAAGGAACAACTGACTGAAGAACCTGACTGAAAACTGACTGAAGATATCTGAAGAGGCTGAAATCCATCTCTGCTGTCTATCCACTCTTCCATCCTTTCAAACTTCTAAAAACTTTACTAAATTTCTAAATCTCTGTACTTCTAACTTCCTACATTCTCCTACACTATTGAACTATATCTCACTTCCCCCTGTGGTCATCATTCTGAAGGCGTTCCATTGCCAGCTGGATCCACTGGGAGGTGTCATATTCCTAGATCTGGGTGTGGTGAGACTGTCCATTTAATTTTGTATTGTATATTTTCTCTGTGTGTAGAGTAACAAGAATTACCTTAGAGTGAGAACAGCTGTATTGGTGTTTTATATATATAGAGAGAGATCCCGTATTACTGTTAGATATTGTTGGTGTCATATTACAAATTTTTCATATTTCATAAATTATTAAATATTAATAATTAGAGTATAATTTATCAGGGAATATCTTCTCCCATTGCTATGGCCACGTGATGAGAGAAAATAACCTCTGAAATACTCTAAAATTATTAGTTATTACTAAATTTAATTTTAATAATCATTATCATCTAAAAATTTGTTATATTGATTTCATTATTTAGAAACGTTATATCGTGTATGATATTGATATAGTATATCTTTGACCGTGTGTATCAGTATTCATTCATCACCAGCCTTTTGCGTTTTGTGTTAATATATATGTAATTTTTGTACATAAATAAATTTTTATATTTATCTATTATAAGGCAAATTTTGTGTGTATGGTACGAAATCATACTGGCTAAAAGGATTCAAGGTTTAATAATAAGTGGTGATCGAATTATCAAGGTGTCCAAATTATTGGTTTACTAAATATTTGCCGTATTTTGACGGCTGGAGGCACTGTAACATTCCATCTAAGGGAAAGGGACACCGCCCTTAATAAATAGAATAAATCCTTACATAAACCACCACACTCCTGTACTATGTCCGCAGTCTCTGGTCATCTCCTGTCCTGTGTCCGCAGTCCCTGGTCATCCCCTGTACTGTGTCTGCAGTCTCTGGTCATCTCCTGTACTATGTCTGCAGTCTCTGGTCATCCCCTGTACTGTGTCTGCAGTCTCTGGTCATCCCCTGTACTGTGTCTGCAGTCCATTGGTTCAGAATATTTATTTTCTTGTTTTTCTCCTCTAAAACCTAGGCGCGTCTTATGGTCAGCTGCGTCTTATGGAGCGAAAAATACGCTATATATATAATGTTTGGGGATTCAAAGTAGTTTTCTAGCAAAAAAGGCTTTTCAAGTAAACAGAAAGCGTCAGAAAATACTTGGTCTTCAAGTGGTTAGAAGAGTGGGTGATGTGTGGCATAGGCTTCTAATGTTGGCCCTGAAATGCCAGGATAGTAGAAAAACACCCCCACCCCCCCTCCGATGACCCCTTTTTGGAAAGTAGACCCGCCAAGGCATTTACTAAAGGGCTTGGCAAGTATTTAGCAGATCTCATTTGTTGCCACACGTTTTTGGAAGATAAAAAAAAAAACAAATGTATTTTACTTTTCTTTTTTTGTTTTCAAAACCCTGTGACAAAAATTATATCTGCAAATCACTCACCATGCCTCTTATCAAATTCGTTGGGGCATCTACTTTTCAAAAAGGGTCATTGGGGGGGTGGGGGGATTGTACTATCCTGGCATTTTAGGGCCTCTGAAACTGTTTTAGGTAGTGAGGAAGTGACATGAGGACATGAGGCTTTGAAAGCCTGGAAGTGGTCATTGGATTTTGGGGGCCTGTAAGTGGCTAGGCTGCCAAAAAGTCTCCCACATGCAGTATCCTCATATTCGGGAGAAGTAGCAGAATATGTTTTGGGGTGTTATTCCACATATTCCTAAGGTATATGGCAAAAAAATTGTCATTTTCCAAAAACTTGTGTCAAAAAATTAAATCTTCCATGGACTCAGCATGTCTCTCAGCAAATTCCTTGGGGGGTCTACTTCCCAAAAAGGGGTCACTTGGGGGGGGGGGGTTATACTGCCCTGGCAGTATATACCATAGTTTGTAGACACTAAAACTTTCACAAAAACCAATTAATATAAAGGTATTGGGATTTTTAGAATACATTTTGGCCTAAAATTATAACTAATTTGGAGTTTATTGGATATTTTTTATAATCGAAAGTAGATAATATTGGGTTTTTTTCAAAATTTTCTGTCTTTTTTCATTTATATCACAAAAAATAAAAAACTCAGTGGTGATAAAATACCACCAAAAGAAAGCTCTATTTGTGTGAAAAAAGGACATAAAGTTCATTTGGGTACAGTGTTGCATGACCGCGCAATTACCAGTTGAAATCACGCAGTGCCAAATAGCAAAAAATGGCCTGCTCATTAAGGGGAGGTGAATCTTCTGGAGCTAATGTGGCAAATGGCATTCCAGTCTTAGTCAGTAGGGTTCAATATTGAGTTGGCCCACCCCTTGCAGCTTTAACAGCTTCAGCTCTTCGGAAGACTGTCCACAAGGTTTAGGAGTGTCTTGATATGTTTGGCCATTCTTTCAGAAGTAGATTTGTGAGGTCAGGCACTGATGTTGGCTCACAGTCTCCGCTCTAATTCACCCCAAAGGTGTTCTATCAGGTTGAGGTCAGGACTCTGTGCAGGCCAGTCAAGTTCCTCTACCCCAAACTCGCTCATCCATGTCCTTATGGACCTTGCTTTGTGCACTAGTGCAAAGTCATGTTGGAACAGGAAGGGGCCATCCCCAAACTGTTCCCACTGTTGGGATCATGAAATTGTCCAAAATGTCTTGGTATACTGACACCTTAAGAGTTCCCTTCACTGGAACAGGGAACAAGCCCAACCCCTGAAAAACAACCCCACGCCATAATTCCCCCTCCACCAAACTTTACACTTGGCACAATGCAGTCAGGCAAGTACCATTCTCCAGGCAACCGCCAACCACAGACATGCCCATTGGATTGCCAGACAGGGAAGCGTGATTCATCACTCCAGAGAACACATCTCCACTGCTCTAGAGTCCAGTGGCAGCATGCTTTACACCACTGCATCCGACGCTTTGCATTGCACTTGGTGATGTAAGGCTTGGATGCAGCTGCTCGACCATGGAAACCCATTCCATGAAGCTCTCTATGCACTGTTGAGCTAATCTGCACTGTTGTACTAATCTGAAGGCAACAAAAAGTTTGGAGGTCTTCAGTTATTGACTCTGCAGACAGTTGACGACTTCTGCACAATGTATAATTTTACGTGGCCTACCATTTTGTGACTGAGTTGCTGTTGTTCCCAGTTGCTTCCACTTTGTTATAATACCACTAACAGTTGACCGCGGAATATTTAGTAGCAAGGTAATTTCACGGATAGACTTATTGCACAGGTGGCAACCTATCACGATACTATGCTTGAATTCACTGAGTTCCTGAGTGCAACCTATTCTTTCGCAAATGTTTGTAGAAGCAGTATGCATGCCTTGGTGCTTGGCTTTATACACCTGTAGCCATGGAGGTGATTGGAACCCCTTAATCCAGTGATTTGGAGGGGTGTCCCAATACTTTTTGCAATATAGTGTGTGTGTATATATGTATGTGTATATATGTATATATTGTGACAGAGTGGCGATCTGTCACAATATAAAAAGGATATTTCACCTGGGATTCTCAACAAGGCAGTTTGAGGGACTCCAGGGTACTTGTTTGATGAAAAGGAAAGTGGCTTTTCACTTACCTCATTTGTTTGTAAAGCACATTTTGGGACCTGGAACCTGGAGATTTCAAAGTGATTTGGGAGGGATGAAAACTCCAGTCATGGTACCAGGTTTTGGGAATGGCCAGGAGACTGATTGGTCAGGTGTGTGGCTCTCTTCTAGAGTCAGGATCAGGGTTCTGGGCTCCACCTTCCCGAGGAGTCCATGTGGGTGCAAGGGAGCAGCCACAAGTGTGCATGGTGACACAGAGAAGTCTGAGAGCAGACAGGGTCCAAGCCTGTGGGCTGGAGAAGCAGGAGTGCTGAGAAAGGGCGCTAACCCAGGTGCAGTGGGTTGCACATGAATGGTCAAGAGGACCGAGGTATGAAGCCTGAGCAGCGGTGCTACTAAAGAGAGCCAAGAGGCTGAATTTATTATTATACAGGATTTATATAGCACCAACAGTTTGCGCAGCGCTTTACAATATAAGGGAGACATTACAATTACAATACATTTCAGTACAGAAGGAATGTGAGGGCGAGGGTGAGAATTTATGTTTTTGTTTCATTGATGGTAGATACCCCTGCATGTTGTGCAGACGTTTCTTTAAAATAAAATTGGGCAAAAACAGCCCTTAAAAAGAAGCAAGCAACTGATTGACTGTGTGCTTAAAAAGCTCTACTCTTGGTGCTAGTTACCACAATATGTGTGTATATGTATGTGTATGTATATATATATATGTGTGTGTGTGTGTGTGTGTGTGTGTGTGTGTGTGTTTTTTTTTTTCAGCGGGAATGCAGGAGAATGCAGTTCCAGAACTGGATGTATGGTAATGGAAAGTGATTCTGGGGTGTGCTGGAGGGTCAATTGATGCTAATGGCGAGGTCTATTATTGCTGTTGGTGGGTCATTTGTAACTGAAGAGGTCTTATGTTGCTGGAAGGGAATCAGTTGTTGCAGGGAGGGATCTACTGTTGAGGGAAAGTCTATTCATGCTGGCTGCTTGAAGATCTGTTGTTGTTGCTGGGGGATCTGTTATCACTAGGGTGGATCTATTGCTGTTTAGATGGTACTTTGATGCGGGGGGGTCATAGTTGAGGGGGGATATAATGTTGCTGGGGAAAGTTTTATTGTTGCTGGGGGGTCTAATATTGCTGGAGAAGGATCTATTTTTGCTGGCTGCAGGGGTTATTGTACTGCTTTTTTCTGTCATTAACAATTTCCGTACAGATTACTTAGCACCACAAAATGATACTTGGTTCTATATTTTCTAAAAGGGGCGGGTACTGGTAGGGGGTGGAACTAAGGGACGATGGTCGAAGGTGGGTGAGGGGCAGAGACAAGGGGGGAGTTCCTGCACCTATTCTCTGAGAAAAAAAGTCATAGATAGATAGATAGATAGATAGATAGATAGATAGATAGATAGATAGATAGATAGAGAGAGAGATTCAACAGTCTCTTTATTAGGTACACCTGTTCAATTGCTTGGTAACACAAATTGCTAATCAGCCAATCACATGGCAGCAACTCATTTAGGCATCAAGACATGCTGAAGTTCAAATCGAGAATCAGAATGAGAGGGGATTTCAGTGACTTTGAACATGGCATGGTTATTGGTGCCAGACGGGCTGGTCAGAGTATTTCAAAAACTGCTGATCCACTGGGATTTTCACACACAAACATCTCTAGGGTTTACAGAGAATGGTCCAAAAAAGAGAAAATATCCAGCTGCATTTGTGTGGACAAAAATGCCTTGTTGATGCCAGAGGAGAATGGGCAGACTGGTTTAAGATGATAGAAAGGCAATAGTAACTCAAATAACCACTCATTATAAGCAAGGTATGCAGAATATCATCTCTAAACACACAACACGTCAAACCTTGAAGCAGATGGGCTACAGCAGCAGAAGACCACACCGGGTGCCACTCCTGTCAACTAAGAACAGGAAATAAAGGCTACAATTCACACAGGCTCACCAAAATTGGACAATAGAAGATTGGAAAAACATTGCCTGGTCTGATGAGTCTTGATTTCAGCTGCAACATTCAGATGGTATAGTCAGAATTTGGTGTAAACAACATGAAAGCATGAATGAGGGGGGGGTGGACTCATGCGCAGCCAACAACAGTCTCAGAAAATGAAGTAGCTCCTAACACCCGGCTTTACTATGATGTATAACAAACTGATAAGAAAAGTGGTGTAGCACTGTGTATACGTTGATATACTTTAAATAAATAGTGAAAATCAATAAAACGTGAATAAAAGTAACTTGGTTCAATTATTGGTGTGACACTGTATGATCAATAAAAAAGATGTGAATAAAAACAACTTAATACAAAATATATATATATATATATGAATCATGGTACACTCCATACTTCATATATATTTGAATTAAGTTGTTTTCATTCACAACATGAAAGCATGGATCCATCCTGCCTTGTATCAACGGTTCAGGCTGGTGGTGGTGCAACAATTGGGAGATCTTTTCTTGGCATGCTTTGGGACCCTTAGTGCCAGTTGAGCATTGTTTAAACACCACAGCGAACCTGAATATTGTTGCTGACCATGTCTATCCCTTTATGACTACAGTGTCCCAATCTTCTGATGGCTACTTTCAGCAGGATAATGCACAATGTCGCAAAGCTCAAATCATCTCTAACTAGTTTCTTGAACATGACAATTAGTTCATTGTACTCCAAAGCCCTCCACAGTCATGAAAGTTTAATCTAATAGAGCACCTTTGGGACATAGTGGAACAGGATATTTCCATCATAGAAGTGCAGCCAACAAATCTGGCAGAAACTGTGTGATGCTATCATGCCAATATGGACTGAAATTTCGAAATATTGTGTGTGTGTATATGTGTGTGTGTGTGTAATATATGCGCAGTACTGTGCAAAAGTCTTAAGCAGGTGTGAAAAATGCCGTAAATGAAGAAATCTTTCAGAAATAGAAGTGTTCATACTTTATTTTTATGAATTAACAATATAGAAAGAAAATGAACATAAGAGAAATCCATATCTAGTTAATATTTGGTGTGATCATCCTCTGCCTTTAAAACAGCATCAGTTCCTCAATTCTTCAAGCACACTTGCACATAGCTTTTGAAAGAACTTGGCAGGTTGTTCCAAATGTCAGAAAAATGGTAGCAGGTGCTTTGGACTGATGAATCCAAAATTTGAAATTTTTGACTGTAGCAAAAGGCAGTTTGGTTGTGAAGCACTGAAGAGCAGTACAATAATGTATGTCTGCAGGAAACAGTGAAGTATGTTGGAGGTTCCTTGCACGTATGGGGCTGCATTTCTGCAAATGGAGTTGGATATTTGGACAGAATCAATGCGGTCTTCAATGCTGAGAGATACAGGCAGATACTTATCCATCACGCCATACCATCAGGGAGGAATGTGATTGCCCCAAATTTATTCAGCAGCAGGACAATGACCCCAAACATACAGCCAATGTCATTAAGAACTATCTTCAGTGTAAAGAAGAACAAGGAGTCCTGGAAGAGATGGTCTGGCTCCCACAGAGCTCTGATCTCAACATCATAATCTGTCTGGGATTACATGAAGAGACAGAAGAATCTGAGGCAGATCTGTAGTAAATTCTTCTAAATGTTTGGAACAACCCACCTGCCGAGTTCCTTCAAAAATTGTGTGCAAGTGTACCTAGAAGAATTGATGGTCTTTTGATGGCAAAGGGTGATCACATCAAATATTGATTTGTATTTCTTCTGTTTCTTTTACTTTCCATGTTGTTAAAGGAATAAAAAAATATTTTTATATTTTTTTTATTCCTTTAACAGCATGGAAAGTAAAAGGAACAGAAGAAATACAAATCAATATTTGATGTGATCACCCTTTGCCATCAAAAGAGCATAAATTCTTCTAAAAAAAAATGTAAAATTCAGAATACTTTTACTTTTTTAAGTAAAAGTATTCTGAATATTACAGCATTTTTTTTTTTTACACCTGCCTAGGATGTTTGCGCAGTACTGTATATGTACACACACACACACACTACAAAAAGTGTGGATCAGGGGAATTTCCTATCTAAAGGGAGAAAGATGTGCATTCACTGACTGGTTGCTAGGGGTGTGTTGAGAGGCATCACAGGGCTTATAATATAAAGCAAGATAATATAATTTGATGAGATATCAGCAAAGACCAAAGTGGGAATTTCACAGCAAAATAGCTTTCAGAAGAAATTTTCCCCTTATCGCTACTTGCCTTATATTGTACATCATTATATATAGGTCTGATAATGCTGAGGTGATTGGAGAGGAGCGCTTTTGGAGCTAGATTACTGTAAATGAGACCTGTTTATCAGTTTATTCCCATCTGAGGATTCGTGCCAGATAGACCTCATGATTATAGAGAGGTCAATTTGTAAAATTGAGCAGCTTGGAGTTACACTGGGTGAGGAGTGAATACTATTGAGTGTGACATTTAAAGAAGAAGCGCACAGATCACATTATTGGATTGGGACATTAACTATTTTTAGATATTTTAGCACAGTATTTTGTGGGGGTTTTTTTCATTTGTATATATATTAAAACTTGTTGCACATTTATTGTATGCACTATGTGATGCACTATGTATTTTTTATTCTTATTGTATCCTTATTGTGACACTGAATTTTGATTTGGTTAGTCACTTATTTATGTATATACTGTATTGATATCAGTTGGGAATTGATAGTTGATTTATATTGGGTTGTGCTGCACTAGTTTTTGGTTATAAGTTCACTAGATCAAGTAATATTTGTGAGCTTTCACCAGCACTATTTTTTCAATGCAGAATGTTCTTATTGTTCAATTCACTTTATTTATAACCTAGCAAATGTTAGTGGGAGAAATAATTGTTATTGAATTTAAAAGTGTTTAATGTGTATAGATTGTGAACAAATAGGAATTAGAATCGTATTCTGTACTGTATATCCCTCATTCTTGTAAAGAAACAGGCATTAGCACAACATGGCAACAAGCAATCGGATGGCTCTATAGTATAAAGACACACTCATAAAACATTTATAATTTCATACTTGTTTCTGGGCAGAATCCATACGTCGTATCCTTGTCATAGTCTTCTGTGGTTGCGCACCATCTATAGCCATCACTTCTTCCTTCAGTTGTGCAGCTGTCATATGTGATTTTTCCTTGAAACTT